GAAGAGACATGGGAACATATGTATAACTGATTCACTTTGTTATAAAGCAGAAACTAAGACACCATTGTAAAGCAATTATACTCCAATAAAGATGTTAAAAAATAAATAAATAAAATAAAATAAAGTACAGTCTTAAAAAAAAAAACATGAATGAAATGAATGGCAGGGTACAGCCCAACTACAGAAAATTGTCAATAGATTGTCCAAAGTATTCTGGTGGAAGAGGCCTTACACTGTTATTTATAAACCAATGTCATCTGATCTGCACCCACCTACTGTGCCTGTTTGCAGAGATGTAACTTGGGTTCTAAGTGGGGAAACATGACAATAGATAATATATCTTTGAAAAATTATGTGACAGATACTGTGTTAAGCACTTATATAGTATCTCATTTAATGCTCACAACAATCTGTGAGATAAATATTGTTATTACATATTAAAGAGAAGAAACTGAGGCACAGAGAAGGTAAGTGATTTGCTCAAGGTCACACAGTAAGCTGCAGAGTCAGGGTACAAACACATGCAGTCTGACTCGAGAGCTGGTTCTCTGAATCATCACACTGTCCCGCCTCTCTTTGCTGTGTTGTGTCTCCGATTCTCTTAATGGAAAGCCTAAAGCAGCCACCACACTAACATCAGTGACTTCTTGCTTGAAGGTGGGTGATGGGGGGAGGTAGGCCTTATTCAACCTTCTCAGTAGCTGATCGTCGTGCTGTTCCTACACATACATCATCATCCACTAAGGGGAGGTTCTAGCCCCTTAGTTCAGAATTTCTGTTGTTCTTGGAATTTTCGAGTGCTTCTTGCAGATCCCATTCTCTAATTCGGAGGAATGAAATTACCTAATGAAATTATGATGTCTAGCTCTACTGGGACAAACAAAGCCCTAAATTGTACAATGGCTCCAAGGCAGTAGACATTCATTACTTGTGCACACAAGTTTACGATCACTGCTGTCCTCCTAGGAGTGACTCCCGGACCCCAGATCCTTCCTTCTGGTCGTTCCACCTTCTCCAAGAGGAAGGGTGTGCATCTCCTTCCATCTAGCGACAGGAGAAACAGCACAAAGAGGTTTGCATGGAGGTTCTGATGGGCCAGGCCTGGAAGAGCACATATCACTTCTGCTCACGTTCCATTGGGCAGAACGTAGTCATGGGGCTGAATCCAACTGCAGGATGAACTAGGAATTCAATCGAGCCCTGCGCCCAGGAGGGAAAGGAAATGGGTTTGATCAACAGCTAGGCAGCTTCTGCCACACAGGCTAATCTTAGAATTAACAGAAGATGAAAACAATAAAAGAATTTCAAACCCCTTCATTATTTCAGTATATCGTGTATACTTTTCTTCTTTCTTTCTTTTAAAAGAGAGAACCATGACGTTGGAACTTTCAGGCTCTTCATTTTGTGTAAATAGATCACCATCCCTCTCCAAACGGGATACATGCAACCCATGAGGGGCTTATACGAAATAAAACAAAGCAAGAACTTGGACCGTCTCAATTTCTAAGGTGTTTTCATCCCCACAAGGAGATCACTGCTCATCTCCTTCCACTGCTTATAGGTTATGGCCATGCTGGCAGGAGGATGCTGCACCCAGCAATTACTGACTTCTGCTTCTGCATTATCATTATAAGGGACATAACCAGTATTTCATACCATCCTCTGATGAGAACATAACCACAAGTGACAGATGGCACAGAGGCAAAGTGCTGGTGGTGGCAGAAATCACAAAAAGATGAACGTATTCTGCGGAAGCAGGGATGCAGGACTGGTGCCCACCCACTGGGCTCCTTGCTAGGCCCTCTCTCGACCCCAGGCTCCTGGTGTATCTTAGGACTCTGGGAGGCAAATTTGAAAACTACTGTTTAGAAAGCCACGTCAGCTGCTGTAAAGAGCTATGGAGGGACCGATAAAAAAAATCTATGCTAGTAACCCAGGAGTCAGTATTCCCACATCTACCTCTACAGCAACTATGTGACATTGAGGAGCCCCCCTTTTTTCTTTATAAATTTATTTATTTTGTTTATTTATTTTTGCCTGCATTGGGTCTTGGTTGCTGCGTGTGGGCTTTCCCAAATTGCGGCGAGCAGGGGCTACTCTTCGTTGTGGTGTGCGGGCTTCTCATTGCGGTGGCTTCTCTTGTTGTGGAGCATGGGCTCTAGGTGTGCAGGCTTCAGTAGTTGTGGCTCGCAGGCTCAGTAGTTGTGGCTCACAGGCTCAGTAGTTGTGGCTCGCAGGCTCTGGAGCGCAGGCTCAGTAGTTGTGGCGCACAGGCTTAGTTGCTCCATGGCATGTCGGATCTTCCCAGACCAGGGCTCGAACCCGTGTCCCCTGCATTGGCAGGAGGATTCTTAACCACTGCACCACCAGGGAAGTCCAAGGAGCCCCCTTTTTTAAAGATAAACACTAGCTGAATGAAAAATGATTGATGGCCCTGTCTGGTCCTGTAAGCAGATCACCTTTCTATGCAACACTGGAGTCTTCTCAGGGCTTAGGCTCAGAGAAGCTCACAAGCCTTTGGACCAACCACCAGACACCAACTCCTATGTCACTTTCCACTGCAAAAAATGGGTATCTTGCTGCCTCTGCCAGAAACCCTGCGATTACGATTATACCTTTGCTCCTGCCCCCATCCCTTTCTAACTGACCGAATCAGCTAATTAATTACGTAGGATCCCAATTGAGCCCATGTCTAAAATTGGATATCCAGTGACTGGTAATGTAAGGCAGCAAAGAAATTGGACTAAGGCATTTCAATTCTTTGTAAGCCTCTGTGATGAGTTAGCACCTTAAAGGATTTATCTTTTAGAGGATGTCCATATTCTAATTCCAGAAGACAGAATGTCATTGCACTAATCTATTTCCCCCCCCTTTCAGATTATAAGGATAATGATGCAATCATGCTCTCTTTTTTTAATCCTCAGCACCTCTCCTGGTGGTTGGCAGAGGTATTTAACAAACAGTTGGGGAAGCAAGACGAAAATAAGGAATGAATGAACCAAAGTAGGAAGAGGGGGGAGGGGGAGAGAGGAGGCTGTTTTGTAATACAATCTGAAATACTCTTTAAAGCCTTGTTGGATTTTCACAAGAAGATACAAAATCAGATGAGCAGATACCCCTTTGCCCTTGACCCATGGATAAAATGAAAGTGAACCCAAGCCCTACAGACAGTAGCCTCCCCAGGCCTGGTTTAACGGCTTAAGTCCTTGATTAAGAACCAAGAGATGGGGATTGGAATTTGTCTTCTTTGCTAAATAGCTCAAAAGTTCTAGGCTCTGAATAGTGTACATCTCTTCTGGGCCTCATTTTCAACATTTTAAAATGAGAATGGGACTTCCTGGTCTTTCTCCCAGAGAGGAGGTGGAAAGTCAGGGCAGGGGCAGGCTGTCAACAGGCTGCAGGATAAAAAAAGGGTAAACTAATTGGGAAAATGAAAGGACTCTACAAATGCAAAGTACTGCTGATGCAAATTCAAACTTTAACAGACATCGCCTATGACATTTTCATTTGCAATTTGCAAAATGCATTACTTTGGGTGTTCCAAGTTTTACTAAACCAAATAATATAGGTGTCTGCGTTTGCATTTGGAATGATACCTCAAAAAGACAACCAAAACCACTGATGTCCCTGAAATCGGGGCTGATAGTTTCACGGATGGGGAAACAAAGGCAACAAGTTACTAAGACCGTTTGGCTAGCCTCACAAATGATCCAGTGAACAGAGCCAGAAAATAATGACAATCCCAGCCACTGTGGGAGCAGTACCCATCAGATAGCATTCTTTTTCCCACTGGGTAATGAGGAGAAATCATCTGTGTACCCAAAATGATTAATTAATGAGCAGACTCAGAAAAGACCACGGTGTGTCAGCCAGCTCTTATCTTATGCCTGAGTCAGTCAGAGGAGCTTCCCTTAATTCTTCTCGACAGACTCTCAGTGCTTTTGTTTTATTTTTTGGAGGTGCCCTGAGTGGTCTCTGTGTAAGTATGACAAGCTTAAAAACAAAAACAAATTCCAAAAAATGTAAATATGACACAACATTGTAAATCAACTAAATTTCAATTAAAAATTTTTTTAAATGTAAATATGGTCAACTGTTCTCATGACAAGAAATTCTGGGCATCTGGTCCACTTTCTTTCATTCCTTTTCTACTGGCTTCCTATCAAAAGTAACCTTTCCCTCAAAATGTCCCAACTGCTGGCTATGCCTAAAGCCTACAAGCTACTAAAAAATTAAAAATTAAATTCAACTAAACAAAGTGGCAAAACTCAACAGAAATATTTTCAAGCTGATTGAATCACAAATTCGTCTGATGCCCTCCCCCAAGGTATTGGGTAAATAGATATTTTCATGGACGCTGCTGCAGGGAGGAAAGGGGATCACTCAATTCTACAGCCACTGAAGAAGACGCTTGCTGTTTCTGAGTTAGCAGACTCTGAGCTTTGGGCTCCAAGCCTTCGTGCTAGATATTTTTATCCCCGTAAGATTTAAGAATGCAGTCAGTTCTTTCTATGCCTCATATTTTCACTTTCCCTCCACTGACTCTTAATTGCACTGCAAAGTCTTCTTTTTAGTTTGTCTGGTCGTTTCCACAATGGCCCGGGGTGGCGAGAGCTGGTCCCTTCCGAGCCCACATCTCCCTTTACTAAGAAAAAACAAACCAGAAAAAACCCTCCAACAATGGCCTTAGCACTCTCCCCACACTTTCTCAGCCACAATGTAGTCCATCTTTACAAACCCTCCATGTCTTTTTTTTAAAAAAAAACTTTCCATTTATATCACTGTGGAGGCTTTCCCTGGGCCTCACCATCAGGTTCTCACCCGCCCCCAGACCGGGTGACTCACCCGGGAGAAAGGTCTGGGGTGGGAGGCGGGGCTGGGTGGCTACCCGCCCCAAAGAGCCCTCCCCACACTACAACTCAAGCCCCAGAGAGTCAGGGTCCCTCTCTTGGCCTTGCTGCCAACTGGGACGCTGCTAAGAGGTGGTACCTCCTCCTTACCTCCTCGCCCACAGGTTCACATCTAAGGTCAGGCACGCTTCCAGAAGCCATCTTAGCAGTGTCTCGTGAACCCTCTGGGCTACAGGCCTCTCAGACTCCTTCCTTCTGGTTTTCAAATCTCTTTTAAGGACATGCAGACCTGGATTTGGATCGCCATTCAGTTCAAACCTGCGGGGTACCCGTGAGTTAAGCATCACCCCGCAGAACCCTCGAGTTAGACACCTCTGTCAGTGAATTACATCTCAGGCCCCAAAGCACCTGTCTCTGCCGCTTCCACTCCTACCTGACCTTACCTGTCGTTTTATTCTGCCTCGTACACAGGAGACCTCGGTATTTGCTCGCTTGAGGGCCCAGATGTTCGATTCTACACTGCGAGGCACTTGCGCTTCTGTTCCGTCTTTTCATTCTCACAACAGTTGAGCGAGGCCGGGCAGGCGCTCACCAATTTTACAGAGTGGCAGCCTCTGACCAGAAGCCCTGTAATTTGCTCAAAGGGCCTCAGCTAGTAAAAAGTAGATTTTTTGGACTGTAATATTTTGAACTAATTTCAGGACACAAGCTGTCACTCACCGTCTGCCTGTGGGTGTTCAATTTGCTTCACGACTTAAGGGGGGCTGCTGCGGTGAGGAATTCCATCTAAGAATTTCACAGAATCCGCGAGCCGTGAGCCAAGGACTTCTCCCCAGGGAGTTCACCAGCCTACCCCACAATCAGCATCTCAACTGGACATCAAGACCCAACTCACTTCAGTTTTACAACACAGGGTTTTTTGAAGGAATGTGCATCCGTGTGTAGTTGTATAGAGAATGTACTTGTCTCACATATGTCCAAAAAATCAAATATTTGTGTGTGGGGATTTAACACTGCATGAGAAACTCCCACAGGAATGGAGAGGGATGGGGGGAAATTAACTCTGGAGTACGGAGTGTGGATTCCAGCTCAGCTTCTTATTGGGTGACCTGAGGACCTCCGGACCCTAACATATAGTCGGGGTCATTTAAAGTAAGCTCCAGTGCATCATACAAGATGTCCATATTCAATACCCAATAATATCCCGGATTAGTCAAATCAGATGTAGACTCACAATATTACAAAAATAAGAAGGAATGAAGAGCCCATCTGCCTGCAAGGCTGTTTTGATTACACTGTCTTGGGAGTTAATAGCTGTAAAATGATGGAGGACATCGGTGCCACTGAAGAAAATAGAGACACGCAAATTGTTTAAACGAGAGGCAAAGGAAACGATCACCAACTCTTTTGCTGAGGTGATCTAAAGACTTCAGAGGAACACGGAACAAAAGTGTATGACAGAGTTTAACACAAAACTGACTGCATTTATGCTACCTTGATCAGAGTTTTATTATTCTAAGTTGACATCCAACTGGGATCAGGAATCAGGCAGAAGAGAAGGGAAGTAGACATACAGAGTATCTCTCATCCTTCTTATGCTTTTCTGACGGCCAGATTGAGTTAAATTGCTTCGTCCTACGCCTCACTTCCCTACCACCAGCACCTCCCAAAGTCAGTATCAACAACAGCAACAGAGCGCGTAAATGCATCCATACAGCCCTGGGACTTGAAGAACCTCCAGGCTCACACTGGGGGAGCATTGCCAGCTTGCATCACAGGTGGCAGCATGCAGACTGCACAGATGTGGAACTTTGGGTGGGTTATTAAAACCACAGTTAAAGGGACTTAACTATTTGTGCTACGCTGAAATTGCCTCTCTTGTACAGACCTAATCTGAATTTTAGAGAGAACAGGCTAAACTAACTACAATGTGTGCCCAACCATTGCAGTGACCATGTCACCTTGTAATTCCTAGTCAAAGACTAACATAGGATCATATATGGGGTGAGAGATGCGGGAAGAGGAAAACGGTTTACAGAGCATCTCCTATACCTCAGACTACCTGCTAAGCAGACATAAATCCTTAGGAATCCTCGTAAGAAATGGCATGAAGAGAGTCTTTTCATGGCTGATTTTACAGCTAAGGAAGCAGGCCCAAAGAGGCTCCAGATCTGGACTTGGAAGGCAGGTCTGCAAGAACCCCTGTGCTTTCTGAAATGCCTTGCTTCCTTAGAACACTTACCTGTGCCCATTAGACTCGAAGAACAGGGAATCCATGAGAGGTTAGACGCAGGAAACCATAATTTTGAATAAACGGTATTGACCTTTGTCCTCTGTGTTCTGGAATTCCCGCATCTGGCCATCTCTTCCCCATCTCGCGTCTGCTGTGTAAGATGCCAGCAAACACTTCCTGTCTTCCTCTGAAGGCATTGCCATTTTCTCTGCTACCCATGACCCATCTCTCGTCCCCTTTTTAATAAACACTTTATTTATTTTTTAGAAACTATTTTATTTATTTATTTGGCTGTGCTGGGTCTTAGTTGCGACACGTGGGATCTTTGTTGCGGCATGCGGGATCTAGTTACCTGACAAGGGATCGAACCCGGGCCGCCTGCACTGGGAGTGCAGAATCTTAACCGCTGGACCACCAGGAAAGTCCCAATACACACCTTAAATTCTTGTTGGGCAGAGGATACAAGATGCCTAGTCCTGCAGAGCAAAGGGAAACATCCACAAAATAAAAAGACAACCTACGGAATGGGAGAAAATATTTGCAAATTATGCAACCGACAAGGGCTTAATTTCCAAAATATACAAACAGTTCATACAACTCAAACAAACAACAGCCCAAAAAAAACAAACAACCCAATCAAAAAAATGGGCAGAAGACCTAAATAGCCATTTCTCCAAAGAAGACATACAGATGGCCAACAGGCGCGTGAAAAGACACTCAACATCACTAATTTTTAGAGAAATGCAAATCAAAACCACAACGACGTATCACCTCACACCAGCCAGAATGGCCACCATCAAAAAGTCTACACATAATAAATGCTGGAGAGGGTGTGAGTAAAAGGGAACCCTCCTACACTGTTCGTAGGAATGTAAATTGGTACAGCCACTATGGAAAACAGTATGAAGGTTCCTTAAAAAACTAAAAGTAGAGTTACTATATGATCCTGCAATCCCACTCCTGGGCATATATTCCAAAAAGATGAAGACCCCAATTTAAAAACATACATGCACTTCAACGTTCATAGCTGCATTATTTAGAATAGCCAGGACATGGAAACAACCCAAGCGCTCATCAACATATGATTGGTTTAAGAAGATGTGATATATATATCTTTTAAAATCAATCATATATATGTATACACACACACACACACAACAGAATATTACTCAGCCATAAAAAAGAATAAAATAGTGCCATTTGCAGCAACATGGATGGGCCTAGAGAATAACATACTAAGTAAAGTAAGTCAGGCAGAGAAAGACAAATATTACGTGATATCACTTACTTGTGGAATCTAAAAAATGATATGAATGAATCTATGTACAAAACAGAAATAGACTCACAGACATAGTAAACAAAGTTATGGTTACCAAAGAGGGAAGGGGAGGGATAAATTAGGAGTATGGAATGAACAGATACAAACTACTATACGTAAAATAGATACGCAAAAAAGATTTACTGTATAGCACAGGGAACTATATTCAATATCTTGTAATAACCTATAATGTAAAATAATGTGAAATATATATATATAAAAACTGAGCCATACCTGAAACTGACACAATATTGTAAATCAACTATATTTCAGTTCTTAAAAAAAGATGCCAAATTGGATTTGTAAGGGAGAACTCATAATCAGAATTATACAGATCCAATTCTACCCTAACCAAAACAACCAAACTAACAAAAACCACCCAAAAACCTCTGTTAGTAGAATTAAAACAAAACATGTTATTATAATCCTGCTTTCTTATACACGAAAGCTACAGTGAAACCTTACTTAAAACCAGATCTCCCCTAACTGGTACTCTGAATAACAACAATTTTTTTTTCTGAATTCAATTTTTAAGAGAATGAAGCAATTGATACTCAAAACACATCAAGTGCTGACTAAAGAAAACAAATACCAGGCTATGTTCTGGAGTCTGGCTGTCCCCGACCCACCCCTCTAAAACTTCTATCTTTCTGCAGCTGGAGAAGTCTTATTTGCCTGTCAAATTCTAATTCCAAGATTTTGTGATGGGTAATGTCTTCCCAAACTACATGGTCAGTCCTTCCTCTGTTAACATCCCAGATAATTTTATACACACCTCTCTCTATTCTAGCACTTACCATCCTGAATGGCTGTTGTGTATCTACACATCTGTTTCTGCCTCTGCACCAAGGGGCGAGGCCATCATCTTCGGGTTCCCAAAACACAGTGCATAGTGGGTGCTCAAAAATTGCTTGCATTCAAAAATAAATAAGAAAATTCACGAAAAATAGCTGTTTCCCATCTTCTATATCCATATCTACATTGCTGCACTGTGGTTCTTTATTTCAGAATGACGATGCTGTAATTTCCTAAATCGATAAAGATGAAATGATTTTCATATAACTTACTGCTAAATAAGGATGCTTATGTATTACAATGCATCTCATAAGGATGTTCGACTACTGATGAAATCATGAGTTTCTAGTTAACACTACTTTTGGTTAATCTGACTGTTCGATTAATAAAAGCATTCTCACCCTGGAGGCACTCCAGCTAAAAAATTGCTATTCTTAGAGCAGCACAAACCATAAACCATGTTTGGATGAGACTAAAAGAAAGTATGTCTCAACCCTTGGCAAGAGAAATGAACAACTGAATTCTGGCCTAAGTCCTTGTTACAACGAAGACCTTCGTTCCTGGTTTCATTTACCTTGAACAGAGGTAGCTGTCAAATGGAAATGGCCAGCCATAGTCACAGCCAAAGACCAGACTGGTCTTCCTAAACCAGCCTATGTTATAAACACACGCATGTTCATGTAAATAAAACAAAAGTTGCAGAAAACAGTATTTTCTTATTCTTACCTACATATGGTAACTATCATTTTCTATTCTGTTGTTTTCTTTTTGTAAAGCCAGTTACAATCCACCAAACTGAATTCAAGATCAGATGGTGGGTCAAGACCCGAGTATGAAGAAATCTAATCTATAGTCAAAAGCCACCAATTAAGCAGCGCACAAGTCAGCAGCCCTAGTTTATCCCTGATCCCTACTGATCACAAATGATGGTATAGAGGAGACAGCATACTCAGTGCCTCTAAATTCTGATTACGTCTAACGGTTTTCACCGAGTCTTATTTCACACTTCTAGAACCAATATTACTACCAACACCACCACTGCAAGGGGATAATTTACTAGAACTAGAAGAAAAATAAGTGATATTTAACTCATGTTATAAATATACACTAAAAGTAGACCTTCCACGGGAGATGTATTAAAATGAATGCCATCAAATATTTAAAGGAATTATACAAACAATGCTTCTCACCTGACAAACTTCACATCCTACCCCGCCTCCTACCCACAAAGTTTTACAGAATCCATTGTATTCCCCAGCTGTCATTTTGTCAATTGTCAATCACCCAGAACATGTACCTCACTTGAATTTCCACACTTGATGACTCATTTCTGGGGAAATATCTCTTCTTTTTGAGTTATAACCTTAGGTAAAGAAAATAAGAGACTCTCGAAAATGTGACATCTTTTGGGAAGTCTGGCTATGTGGACAAAGGTCTCAAATCAAAACTCCAAGGGCAGGTTACAGGGTCTGAGGACCCACATTTTTCATTTGTCCCTAGCCGTTTTCACTCAGTGTCTCATACAAAACTAAGATAATGCTATAATTGGTATAACTAACTCATGTTTCTATTCCAGCAGCGGTGGGTGGCTGCTGACAGTAATCAACTACTTTGATAACGTTTACTGATAACAGCAAGGGGCTTCATATAAATAATGTGCTATTTTTAAACCTTGCCCTAATGCAGCTGCTTCTTACAATTATATTTAAAAGGTTAAAAAGGAGGATGAATATAGCACAGCTCTGGGCATACCTGGGCAATAAGAGTTCATTAATATCACTAATTGGAGGGGCAGTTGTATCCCTCATCCCACACACATCTACACACACACACACACTCACACACACACACACACACTCACACACACACTCACACACACTCTTCAAAACAGCCAGGAAGTAAGTCAGAGAACAATACTGGTCTATTTTTGGCTCACCAAGAAAAATGAATCAAGTATCAAACCTTGGATGATTCATCTATGGAATTTATACCTTTGAATAAATATGAGAGTTTACTTTTTGACAGCATTTCACTTTTTTTTGTTACATCTTTATTGGGGTATAATTGCTTTACAATGGTGTGTTAGTTTCTGCTGTATAACGAAGTGAATCAGCTCTACATATACTATTGAACTCAGTTATCTCACAAGGTATCTGGGCAATGGAGGGAAGATAGCTGTTTGTCATTTCCAGGTGGGTGCTATGGAGGCACCTTTCCTCACAGTGACTTGAGTCACCAGGAGACAAGAGCACTGCAGGACTTGACCCCCACAGCCCATGGACCTGGTGGCTTCCACACAGGCCGTCCTGAGCCCTGCCAGTGGGACCCTTGGAGCCTTCTGCCACTTCTGCATATAAAACAGCAACTCCAGCAACGGCAGAATCTTTGCCTACGAGAAACCCTGGGCCCCAGCCAGGCTCCCAACTGGATATATCACATGAATGAGAGAGAAG